TAGCAACCTTGGTCTGAACTCAGAATGAACCCTGTTTTCACATTCTTCTGATGATTACTTTCCTTGTGCTTTTAATTCTTGGTATACCAAAACTCAAGGTATCAAACATAGAAAAAACATCAAAGAGTAATTAGCTCTTCTACTATTTCCTTATTCTCTCTCTCAGTATTTTATGATTTATAGTTACTATATTAATTTTTAATTTTAAGCTTTAAATTGATGTTTGTGACTAATTCTACTGCCAATCTGATTATTATTTGTAAGTAAACCTTTTTCTTAGCATTTCCCATTATGTTTGTCATGGTGTAAAATATTTTTTAAATATTAGTATTTTTGTTTACTTCAATACTTAATAGAACCTCTACTATTTTTGCGAATTTTTTTTTTGAGTCTTTGTTCCAAGAGGTTTCTATTTTCTCCTCTAAAAACTATTGTTAGATATTTTTAAGCTTCCTGGGTTAACCGTGCATTCCAGATTTTTTTAATCCCTTTTTTTCAGTGAGGTATTTTTTTTTATATAGGATGAGAAATTTCCTCAAGATTTTATTTTAGATTTTTTATAATGTTTTTAAAACTTACCCAAGCATGTTGAATTTCTTAGAGGTCTTATTTTCTAGCTGTTCTCCCTTTGCTTCTTCTTAAATGGATTTATCAGCTCAAGTACTTCTGAGTGAACTAATTACAAGAATTGTTGTTCTTCTTTACTGAATTATTAGTCAGTACTTCTAACTGTTCCATGTCACTTTTTTCCTTTTGCATTGTTGGTTTATCTCAAAAGTCCTTGATAATTATTCTCCAATAGACCCTGAAAATGTGTTATCTAAGTGTCAAGTTCTTAGTTGTCAGATTTTATTTTCTTGTGTGTTTGGGAGCATACCATCTCTTTGCTTCCAAATATACACCCATACTCTCTAAATTATAAATATTAGGACAATGAGGGCATTACTAGAACATTCCAACACTGCCATAGGAGTTCTAATATTCCTTGAGGTGGTGGAAGGTTATTATTTATACTCTAAGAAGTTATGGAGTGCTCACAATGAGCAAACCACCACCTGTTAGCATCTGACTTCTGGGCATGCACAGTACAAGGGCTATGGTTCAAAACAGTGCAACTGATCAGGAAATTGAGGCATTTAGCTAATAAGATGTTTTAATCTTATTTAGCATCCCATTTTTTTCTCCCTTATGAGGAGCATCTCTAGTGTTTTGATGGGAAAGAACATCTTCCACATGCACACTTCCACTTCCTTGGCATTTCTGAGATGCCTTTTCTTTAGATATACTTTTTGATTTCTTTTCACCTCCTGTTTTGAGTATTGATGTGGATTTCATAATTTTTTTAACATTCTGGCAGATACTTAAATAAAATTTATAAGAGAGAGGTAGAGAAAACCAGTGCTTAGGTTGACATTCTCATGCATAGTGCTTTAGAAATGGAATTAATGAGAAATATTAGTATTTCATAACATTAACAAATTCATCTAATAAAATTTGTTATTCATATTACTAATTGAATAGCATGCATGGTGTTAGCATATGGTATAAATACTAATTAAATAAATACATAACTTTATGTTTTAGTTAACTTTTGCATCACTGTTACCAAAATGCCTGACAAGAACAATTTAGAGGAGGAAAACAATTTATTTGGTTTACTGTTTCCGCATTTCATTCCCCGGTGTGCCTGCTCCATAGCTGAGCCTGAGGTGAGGCAGAACATAGTAGTGGAAGTGTATAGGATAGGAGGCAGCTGAGGACTTGACAGCTAGGAAGCAGAGAGAGAGAGCTCTGCTCCCCAGGAACAATAATATAAACCCCCAAGTCATACCCCCAATAACCTTCTTCCTGTGTCCATATTCTACCTGCAGTAGTTATTGTTCAGTTCATTCATCAGGGAATTAATCCACTAGTTAGTTTTCTCCTCTCATAATGAAACCATTTCACCCCTGTAAAGTCACCTCATGTCTCACACATGAGCTTTCGGGGGACACCTCATATCTAACACAGAACACCAAGCAAATGTAACTTATACTTTAAATGATTTATCTAGTTATTAATATTTCACATTAGTACATCTTGGTGCTCAAGATGGTATTTTGCATATTTCAGTATATTATTAAGTATAATATATTATTAAAATAGCACTTGATGTATGTATTTTTGGTAGTGGGAATGGGATGAATTTCTGAAAATTATGTTTGACTCAAATCTTAGGGACTTTGTGAAAATAATAAAACATGGGATATCCTTTGAACTATCATCATAATAAAAGAATATCCTGTTCCAGTATGTTGTTTATTTTTATATCACTTTGGCTGATTTACTTTTATTTTTACTTTTATTTTTATGCTCTTTTGGAGGGCAGCCACGGTAGTGTAGTTGTACTTCAGAAAGTGCGGTTGGGAATGTATATATTCTTCCCATTAATTTTTCAGTGGTTTCCAAGTCAGAAGTCTGTGTGTCAGCAGTATTTTATTTTACTGAGACTGTGTCAGATCTTTTGGTATTTTTTTCAGCTAGATAGAGTCTACTTCTGTTCACTTTCATCATTCATTGAACTTCAGTCTCTTTCAATTTATCAATTTGGTTTTCTAGAGGGAGGGAAGGAGGAAACAGCAAGAAACAAGAAAATTGTCCAAGTGTCATTACAAGAGAATCTCCATGACAGTGACCACATTCTTAAACTAAATTGTTTGCAGTTTTTCCCCATTTTTGTGCACTTTCACCCTTTATCATCCCTCTCATACACAACTGATATCTTCTGACACCATATTTCTATATATGACAATGCTGAGTGACATAGGGATATGTGAAATGTGCCTTCAATCATATAAACTTTAAAAGTGCCAGCTTAAAAAAATGTATTTTAATCAGTTTTCACTGATTAGCATATGAAAATATGCTATTTAATATTAAATGACAAGGAAATGAATACCAGTTGGCCTCACTGTTTATATAATTTTAGTGTTCCACAAAGAGTCTAGTCAAGTACCCCAAGTGCCACCCTCAAAAGAGCTGTCATTAACATTACATAAAAACCACCTCTGGTTTTTACAATGTGTCTAGCCAGGTGTAGTCATGAATTTATTTGTGTTTAGGCCATTCATTGATTCTTATCCCTAAGCTGAATATTTTGATTCAAATATGGATATTGTGACTTGCATGTTTTCAACTTTTTTAAGTATCACTAAATTCAGTTGTTTGCTTTATTCTGCATATAGTGAATTTTTAATATTTACTGGCTTGAATTCTGTTTCTTTTTCAAAGTAGAATGGCTTTGAATATAGGTCCACATTTAAAGAAATTCTTTTTTTTGTTTTGTTTAATTTGTAAATTCTTTTCTATAAAGTATTTAATTTGTCTTACTTTAGGAGTTATCTTTTTCAAAGTTCAAACTGAAAATAATTTGTGTTTTTTTGTTTTTTTTTGTATTCTGGATTGAAATCAGGGGCACCTGAACACTGAGCCACATTCCCAGCCCTATTTTGTATTTTATTTAGAGACAGCATCTCACTGAGTTCCTTAGCACCTCACCTTCTTCCTGTGTCCATATTCTACCTGCTATAGTTATGGCTATAGTTATAGTTGCTGAGGTTGGCTTTGAACTCGCGATCCTCCTGTCTCAACTTCCTGAGCTGCTGAGATTATAGGTGTGCACCACCATACCCAGCTAAACTGAAAATAATTTTGATAAACATTTACATTAGAAAGAATTAAGATCAAGTTAAAAATTATGAAATGGCATTGTATTTAGTGTTGAAATAATAAAACCACCGATTATAATAATTTGTTAGATTCACAAATTATATAACCCTTGAAATAGGCAGAAGTTCTGAAGAATGAATAACTAAAACCGCTGACTTCATGTATATTTTACATGCCTTTTTATTGTTAACTTATTAATTTGTTTTTTCTAGGAAATCTTTTGATTAAGTTCAGGAGTTTTGTTATTATTGCTTATTACTTTTTTGTTTTATTATGTATTTTATAGTTGATTGTAATATATCCTTGTCAGGGGTCAATGGTGAAAAGAACAATAACAGAAACAATAATTATTATCTACTGGCAATTGAACACTTGCTATGTTTCACATATTTTGTTGGGTGCTGAGGCTAGAGAGAAATTCAAGTTTATACAATTCTGCTCAACCAGGCTAGAATTTCAGTCTATGTCTGACTCTAAAGGGCTTGCCTTAATGCTCTATAGTATTCTGACATTTCCTGATTTATGACACTTTAAAAACACTTCTAAGTATTATTCAGATACTGGCAATCATGAAATGTTAATTTGATATGTCTCCCAAGTAATCCTGATAATAGTGGTCACTATTATTACCAGGCAAGATGGAGCACTGATCATTCTACAGTAAGTTATCATAAAAATTAGGTGCTAATAATTCCAGCTATGATGATAAGTAGAGTGGTGGAATGAACAGGTTTTGAACACCAGTTGTTTCCAAATCTAGGTTTTTAGCTTGTGTACATCACTTCAAAATATGATGCTTTGCACTTATTCACTACAAATTCTCAATTTTTTTTTCTGTCTATTCACAACTTCTTATGCCTTTTGCATTTTTGGAAGACCTTCTTTGTTATTTATTCTTATTATTATAAAAATAAATAACACATGATATGGCAAAGAAACATTGCATTGAAAATGTTTTAGTGTAACATAAAATAGAAATATAGGATTCATTCTAATTTTAGTATCCAATTCATGTTGACAGTATTTTGGTGGACCAACTTTCTAAAAGTTTAAAATACTTTATACTTTTAGGGTTATTTGTATTGTACATAATCTCTGGAAAGTAAGGAAATTTACATGTTGTGATGTAAATTGTTATCTAAAACTACATTAAAATTGAAAATATTTAATTTTTGAAAATCATGATTACTTCTATTGCTTATCAGTCTCCCAGAGTTTTTCTTGAGGCACAAATTGATCTTTCTTTATTCTGTTTTTTTTTTGTCTCAAAAACTAATTTATTATTTTGTCAGCTATCCCCTGGTCTCCATGCTGGATCTACTCTGATTCCAATGAATAGCATTTCTCTGCCACAAGGAGAAGATGATTATGGGTATCAGTGTTTGGAGGGTAAAGATTGTGCCAGCTTCTTCTGCTGCTTTGAAGACTGCAGAACAGGATCTTGGAGGGAAGGAAGGATCCACATACGCATTGCGAAAATTGACTCCTACTCGCGAATATTTTTCCCAACAGCTTTCGCACTATTCAATCTGGTTTACTGGGTTGGTTATCTTTACTTATAAATTCCATTCCTGAACAAAAATTCATAAGACATCTGGCTAAATCTGATGTAATCTGTTGTACTTCAGGAATAAGAGGGTCAAACTTAAAATGGGGAGAATCCAATGGTTAAAATCTGAATAGTATTATAACTATTTTAAGGCCTTCATAGGTAAATAAAATAACTACTTTTAAATTCATTTACATAAATTTACAGAAAATTCATTAGTTGTCAGATCCAGTATGTTAAAATATTAGTATATATATTATTAATTTATTAGTATTAAATCTTGTTAGGATTTTGAAAGCTTCATAAGTTATGTGATACATATTTTAAAGATGAAATAAATTTAGTATGTATTTTGTTTAAATATAACTATCATTGTATTGGGAGACTAATGCCTAATGTTTAATAACTATTTTGTCTAGAAACATTGCTTACTTGATTTTTTTTTCTTGATTTTTATTTATCTGCACTGTTTGGGATGCAGTTTGTTAAAACAAATTTGTAATTTCTTTGAATTTATTTCCAAGATTTTTCATTCCCCAGAAGACACTGTTTTATTATTTTTTAAAGTTATTTGTTGTGAATTGACAACTTGTAGTTGCATAAATTTTTGGAGTGAAAAATGTTATCATTTTTTTCTATGAATAGAATCTGAAATAATTAAATCAAAAGCTAGTTGGCAATTACAGGTGACTTATGAAATAGCCAGTATGTATCTGTCATTTAATCCAGTCCATTTCCTGATTCAATATTAAACAAAACTCTGGCTACATTTAGTCTGAGGATCTATAAAATTAGATGGACATAGTCGCATTAGTTTTTTCATAAGCAAGGTGAAAAAAATTCAGGAAACATGTTACACTTATCCATTTTATTTTCTGCCTAATAATATTTATGAAGCATGAAGATGTTAACACTGAAATGCTAAAATCTGCTCACATTACAATTCAATGCAAAAGGAAAAGATAATTGTTTTCTTTAGGTGCTAGAAGAGTGTTACAGTCCCTGAGTTAAGAAGCATTAGGGAAGAGAGGTTACATATATTCTTAATGGTTAAAAGTTATTTAGAAAATTAGATTTCAAGTCATATTGAGGGTATGATCTTAAATACGTAGTATTAACATTTATTAGACCATACGTATCTGGGAAACAGTTTAAGGCCTGTGTCACATATTGCCTCTTCCACCTCCCGGATTCTGGTCCAGTTTCACAACTACATTATAAATTTTCTAGAAAATGGGGCAAGCCTCAAAATCATGTTAAAGGTGGAGCTTTTCAGAGGCATCCTGAATGAACTTGAGTGTGGGAGCTCTTTAAATTTCTACAGAAAACAGTAGAAAAAGTGCCAATAAAGTCTCACTATATGAAAAGACTATCAATACTTGCCAACTGTCTCTAGTTAAGAAGGGAATTAAAGTTAGGCTCCAATGATCATATTCCAGTAAGTCATTTAGCATATCAATTTCTTATACAAGCTCCATATTCATTCACCAAAACCTGATTCTGGAGAATCACCACAGTCAGCCAGAAGATAAACTTTAAAAAGTGTTCCCATTGCCAAGAGCAAGATTAGAGTGAAGAGTTTTATGATTGAATCCTTAAAAGAGTAGAAAATCAAAGGGAATATTTTCCCCAGAAGTCTCACTAAATATAAAGTTTTGATGTCACCTTCATATTTGACAGTTGAGATTTTAATGTGAGTTTCCTCTCCTACTTGGTCAGTGAGTGGGGTTCTGGCATGGTTATACTTGTTTTTGGAACATATAGGATTTTTTACCTGGCTAAATCTGATTTTTTTTTCACTTTGCTTACAAACCTCTGAGAAAAGAAGCAGGAATTAAACAGTAATGACAAATATCCACTGAGACCGCCTTTTTTTAAAAAATGGAAAGCCAATTAAACTTTGGCTGTGTATATATTCATTTGTAGATTATTCATGCATTCAGGTTTATAACATCGAGTACTGGTGGATATTCTAACTTGCACATTCATTTCTGGATAAATGAAAAATAAAGTATCCATGAAGAAATAAAGTACTTCATTAAATTTTTTATGGCTAGTTCACATGTTTTAAGCTATAGCCTGCTCATTATCATGGGGCAGTTTTGACTTTGGGGCTCTTTCAATTGTATCTGAGCATGACTACATTTTAAAATACATAAAATGCTTGATATAAACAGCCTGGATTTTCTCATTGGTGTTTTATTAACTAGACTTCAAATGTTGACAGTATTTAAAAGTGAAAATAAAACTGATGAAAATATAAAAGTTGATTTTCTATTTATATTTCTTGTATATACCATAAAAATAAGCCCATTGTTTTCAAAGCTGCTATTATTTTGAGCAGTTTTTATTTAAATATTCAGATCAGAAAGAGAGGTATACAAACTGATTATTTCTAAAAATTAGCATGGAAAGGTCAAAGTACATTTAGACTCTTTTTACAAGAAATCAAAAAGAACTTATTTTCAAATGGGAGGCGATATAATCCTTCTTCCTTTCTTCTTTAAAGTATTAATTTTACCATTTTGGGAAATATGTTTTAAAAAGCTTTCTCTTTTTCTAGGTGAGTTATGTCTAAATTTACTGGGACTTGTGTACCCTGGACGGAAAAAAAAAAATTTTAACACTCATACCAAAACAGTGGATATAACAGATGAGAAAGATAACTGAAGCAGAAGGATTTAGTAGAATCATTTTTTAAAAAAAATGTTAATTCATGTAGATGTATCCTCTAAATATATGTCCAAGACGCAAAACTTCTGAAAGAGAAATGAGATTAGCACATTGTTTTTCCATTTAGATTTACAATAACATGGTAACATTTTATGTATCCTTGAACTGCATGGACAAAATTAGGCTCACTTGCAATCAATTACTACAATGTTGAGTTGTTGTTGTTGTTGTTTTTGTTATAACAGATAATTAGATTTCTGAGAATTTAGTAGGGAAAGGGAATATTTTCCCCAGAAGTCTCACTAAATATAAAGTTTTGATGTAAGCAAAAAAAATCAGACAATTCTTTGAATGCATTTTATGTTAAGGTAAAGATAGATATCATTATGATGTTTTTAAAGCTGATCAATTCTGAACTAAAGCCCAGTAAATATGTGTAAATAAAGAGGTGACCGTCTGGGCTTTTCACCTTAAGTGTGTTCCCATATTCAGATATCTATGTAGTCATAAAACAAGCCACATCTTTCCTTAAGAACAAGGACAAAATTGAGGACTGCTTTTTATTTTTATTTTTTTAGTTATTGATGGACAGTTATTTTTTATTTATTCATTTATATAGGGTGCTGAGAATCGAACCCAGTGCCTCACATGTTCTAAGCAAGAGCTCTTCCACTGAGCCACAACCCCAACCTGAGGACTGCTTTCTTGACAATGTCTCAAGATCAAAAAGAATGACTGGTAGTATTCTCACACCATGGGGCCCATAAATAAAAAGGTGAAATTGTGTATCAAGTCAATATATTAAGACTAAATACATTCTATACTTTGACTCTATAATAGAAAAGCTTTATGGGATGATTCGTTTGAGTAAAATTGAAACTAACACCTAGTATTTGAATAAACACAGCGAAAGAATAAATATATGCATTACAGTGATCCAAATTCTATATCAGTGCTTATTCTCAGTCTTGTAAACTTTGTTGGAGAAATAAGCCACATCCACAATCATTTCATTGGTCTCAGCACCAGGATCAAAGAGACCCAATTGATGGTTTAATGATTTAGAATTTGTCCCATTTACACATATTATAAATATTACCTCTGACCAAGTATTTTTTTTAATCATTAAATTTATTCAGCTACTTAGTATCTTATTGTATGAAGGTCAGCTCTAATTGGTATTGTCTGTTAGCCATTCTTTGCCTTTTACTGCTAGGGAGGCCTTATCGTGCCACAATGAAGCTGCAAAAACCATTAATAAGTCTTTATTAAAGACATTCCAAATGGACTTTTCAAACACCATTGACCACATTGCTCTTGTAAACATAAGGTTGTCTCTGCTTTTTTTGTGTTTGTATTTTGGAAGTGAAGTAACCTAATTAAAATATTTATGCAGCACTTTCTATATGAAAAGTAATATTCTTTTTAATAGAAAATGTAAAGATGCACTCTCAAGAAACAGACAGTCAAATAGATCAGAGGATTACTTACACAATTCAAGAAAAGGAGAATAATATTGGGAAGATTTCATGGATATATGTTTATATATGGAAATAGGTGAGGAAAACAGAGATCACAACTTTCAGGTGCGAATACAGCTTGCATAAAGAAGCAAAATTATAGAAACAAATGAAAATTTCATTTTAATTATCTAATATAGAGACACTTGAAGGTAAGACTGGAAATACAGGCCTTTTTCTATGGTGGAGAAGCAAGAATACAAACTTCAGGAGACCAGACATTAAAAATTCATCAAGAGTGCACAGAGATACTTGAATACAAAAGACCCATTATTAAATTGGAGAACTTTCATCTTATTGGTGCATGATCTTGAGAATAAGAAAAATAAGAAAGCTAATAGATTTTAGAAGTGTAGAAGCTGAGGGATGAAGATCAGTTCTCAATTCCAGAAGTTTTCAGTGGTTGGGGGAGAGATCACCTTGATTAATAAAGAAAAGTGGCAGACTTTAAGCAATGATTCATAAGCAACATTAACTATAAGACCTGGCATGTGTTTGGGGGATCCTTTCTTTAATACTTGTCTGTGTGTAAATAGACACTAAAACACTACAAAGAAATTCTACTTGTGTTACAATCTTGTTTGCTGTTAATCCTGTGATTATTTATTTTTAAGGATCTGTGTTTTTTCCTGAAGTGTAAATCATAGGTGGTCTGTCCAGATTACTATTTTAATTAAATCTGACCCTTATTGAAAGGATTTTCTCTTCAAGTAGACTATTCTGTCTTTCTAGCTGAGACACACACATACACTATATATATATATATATATATATATATATATATATATATATATATATATGGGCAAGGAAAGGAAGAGACGAAAAGCATAAATAGAAATAAGCCACTCTAGTGCCATACAAATCCAGGAAGTTGATTTCTGATCCTCAAACAATTTCTGAAACATTTGACTTAATAAACAAATGAATATTTATTGTTGGACAATGAAATGTCCCTGGACCTTTTGACTTTGAATAGTAAATACTGTGATAACTGGAATGTAGTCAAGCAGAAAGGAATAATGGACAGAATTTTAGGACACTATTGGCCTAAATGGAAATTTTTTCAATCTCAATAAATTGCTGTAATAATGGCTATTTGCATCCATTAAGTGTATGTAGTCACTTCACATAATAAAGTTTTACAGCTTGTGATGAAAAGTGCTTTTGCTTTATTTCTGCTTCATGATTTTGAGAAGCATTTGTAAGTGTGTGGCAAAAATATTTCGATTTTTCCAAGTGTTCTGTACATTCATGATCCTAAGTACAAACTAAACTTAGTAACTTGTTGTGAAATAAAAAGTTACATGTTACCTTCTCTTAAAATGTGTCCTGTTTTCATATAGATGTCTCCCTGAGTTGTTTCAGAGGGTGTG